GTTCCCTAGATTGGTTTCTTATTTGGAGGTGTTGAGGGAGGCAAAATGGTAGTTACCTGTTTATATTCTTTTGTAGTGGGCTTCTTTTAACTGGAGACTGTTCAGTTGGTTCTTCAGTTCTTTTTACTTGCTCACTTTGGGCTTCAGCTGATGTTCCTTCTGTGGTGCTTGTCTCCTGGAAAATAACACCTTTTGCTGTAGAGACAAGCTTTCTAGGTGTCTGTGGAAAATGCTGTACCATTTGGGTTAAGGTGACAGTGACATCAAAGCATCATCTTCCATTTATGCTCTAATTTTTCTTGGACAGTGTTGTGTTTTTCAGTTGCTTTTAGCTTTTCTCTGTCTTTTCAGAAGATAGGTTGCTCTGCTTTGCTATAGAATTTACAAGCATGGTCTGTTTTCTGGTCTTCCGTGTTCCCTCCCAAGGACGATATGTAGGAAAGCTGTGCTGTTATGCTTCCTGTTCAAGGTGTCCGAAGCTGGTTAGTGGGAGGTTGCAAACAATCTGCAGCAATTTTGGTGTAGTTGTCTGCAAGAAAATGTGACCCAAGTGAGCGTGCATGAGAGGCTTTTGAGGGAGGCACTGAAGCTGTTTTCATATACAGCAGGGTAAGCATAGCAGATGGATAAGCTGTGCAGTAAGCTTTGCAGGTCTTCTAGCAAACACAAAACCTGACCTGTTTTCACTGCTTTCTTGGTTGTCGCTCAAGACTGGCAACAGGTGCTGGTTAATAGGGCAAATTTCTGTTAACTGAGACAAGTGATGCCCTGCAAGTATCCAGTCATTTAAAAAAAAACCAACCCCTCAACACAAAATGACAGAACCCAGAAACAAAACCTACCCTGTTGAACTAGCTCTGTCCTGCTATTGCACTGAGGAATTAAATTTTCTTTGCTTTTTCTGCACACATGTAAATAGCCCACCCAATTTTTGTCTTTTGCATGTAGATTTAAAACCATTTTTTCTTTCAGGATTGGAGGGGAGCTGGTAGCTAATATCCTATATTCTGTTCTTGATTTTTGACCAGGTTTGTTGTGCGATCTTAGAAGTGAGTTAGTTCCTCTGTTTTCTGGTCCTCATTAGTAAAATGTGTGTTGTGATTCTTCACCATAAATGTGGGATTTGACAATAATAATGAGCAAATTAGAGAAGGAAGGCTCGATCGCTCCATCTCAGAAGTACACTGAGCATCTTGCTGTGTTTGACTTAAATGTAAGAATTGTATTTAAAAGCTAAGATTCAGGTGGTGAACCTACTTTGGGTTGAGTAAAATCTGCTAATGGGTGTCCTGAGCTGGTATCAGCCCAGCGAGTGACTCTGAGTGCCTGTGCCCTGCACTCCTCAGGTACCTCTGCTTTGAAAGGACTTTAATTTGGGCACAGCGTCCTGGATGCAGGCAGAGATTTCTCCTTAGTCCTGTTGTATACATAAGTAAGTCCTTTGGGAAGTTTTGCCTAAATCTAGCCTATGTGTGTTTATGATTTTCTTTGATGCTCTCGTGCAGATATGCTGGAGAAGTCTTTGCTAACCCCAGCTTCTGAGTAAGGTGCTGTAGGTTACTTTGCTTTATGTATTTTTTCATTCCAGAAAATACTGTGTAAGTGCCTGTTGGGTATATGTAATCTAATTTGACATTCTTTTTAGGTATAGGAGAGAAAGCCTTGCAACATGAAACATTCTTCATAAATCTGACTATATGTACAGTATTAAAGCAAGTGACATACAATTCCTGTTCATCTGAAGAAAGTTTGAGAGAACTTCTGGCATGCCAGAAGTTCCTGGAAGTGAAAATAACCGATGATATTGCATGCCAAATCTTAGAGTTATTAAACCAAAATATACTGATGCTAGGTTCTGCTTTTTCTCTGTGCAGTGTAAAATGCAAGGTATCATAACATTCCAGTATATCTGGAGGCAAGACACAGTATCTTCTGGGAATTATATCGCAACTGGCTCTGTACTTATTCAAAGGCAAGAAGTGGTCAGGGCATACTGCTACAAAGTGTGTTGCCGTTTTACTGTGCTACTGCAGGCTGACTCTTGTGCTGAACTTAAAGTAAAACAGAAAAACCCAAAGCTGGTAAGTGGCAAGGATGATGATAACGTGAGCTCATCCCTCAACCTCAGGAAGGTTAGCCTGCTTAGTCACAGAGCCAGCAATGCTCAGCCAGTGAAGCTGTCAAGTGTGAGGTTTCCTGGAGCATAGTCATGCTTCAGCTTGAGTATCCATTGCTTCAGTTTAAACTATGGACTCCTGTTATTAGGATGAGCTAGAAGATACTTTCCTGCAGTTTTTCTATATGGATAGAAATTCTAAAAAGCTGTTGTTGTGATGTTTTGTTTTACTATCTAGTACTGGATGCACCAAATTATCTTTTTTTTTCTTGATGATCTAGTTTTATTTTTTTCATGCAGTTGGGAGAATTGGGATGTTCAGTAAGTGTCCTTTGTCCAAGGCAGCTTAAATCTCTTTCTTCCTCACTCATTTTCACTGTCTTGGTTTTTGTGCTGCTGCAACTTCAGTTCTTCAATCCCTACAGTCTTCTCAAGTGACAAAATAACTTTCCTAAGATGCATGTAATATTTTTTAGGACTTTCTTTATGGAACACACAAGTACATACTGTTTTTCCCTCCTTTAGGTCATCTCTGAATTTACTGGGGTTTTTGTAAGCTTTGCATCTTAATACTTTTGTTATGTCTCTTTCCTAAGTAGATGCAGTTCTAAACTGGTCTGAACTAGGTTTTGCAATGCTGGTGGCTTCTTATCTAGTAATAGAAGAAAGAGAGCCACAGTCCACACAAGTGGAGGTTTGGAGAGCTGTGCTGTATATTCTTGTATGTGTGGATACTTGTGTGTGGTAGTTGCAAATCTCAGTCACCACTATTAAGAACAGCATCAGCTGTTCTTGGTTTTTTTAGAAGGGTTAAACCCAAGGGCTCTTGAAGTGGGATGTCAGCTTTTGGGCAGTTTAAGTTTAAATTTGATGTAGCAGCAGTATCTTCTGATATACAGAAAAACTACATTCTTTTTATCAGAATCATGTGACTGATCAATAAAAAAGGCATGCAGAAGCATCAGTGGAAGGAAGATGTTACAAGGTTGTCTGGTTTGGAGAGAAAAATAGCTTGTGATGATTTCAGAAAAAGGAAGATGCTGTCAGACACCACTTTTAAGTCGTATTACCTCAGGTATTGTGGTTTACATTTATGGCAGTGCTGCAAAAAGCAAGGAGAGAGTGTAACATTAATGCTCCTGAGAGGCACATTGCAACCTTTCCACCTCTACATTTTTGCTACCAGGGATCTAGTTTCCTACTGTAGGATGTTTTTTCCTCTTCTAGCGAAGTTTTGATAATAGGAAAAACTTAACTTTATGAAATCCTCATTTGTGTACTAGTTGCAGTTTAGAGAGAATTTTCCATCTCACGTGTCCATAATTTCTCCTACAGTTATTTTTGTTCTGTTCAGAGAGGATTGGAAAATGAGCTGAGACGTTGTGCTTAGAGGAGGTAGGAACGCCCTGGCTCCGTGATACAGGGTGGCAGAGATCCATGGTTTGTAGCCAGGGCAAAGGAGGAGGCAATGCAGGGGGAACAGCTATGTAACTGCCTGAGGAAGTGAGTCACACTCTGAAACACAGGCCCATGGTTCCAGTAGCGCTGAAGCCAAGCTTGGCCTCTGAGGTGGAAGTTGCGTAAGTTCATTTAAACGCTTTGTCTTTTCCTCCTCCTCATGCTCCCAACCCCACCTCGGTATTAAAATCTGCACTGTAGCCATATCCGTTTAGAGGAAGCTTCAGTTATAGGACTGCAATGTGCTGTATGCTTTTGGTTTATTATTTTTCATTTTATAGAGAGAGATAAATGGATCACAGGTTTTATTGGAGGAGATATGGGTGTTAGTATTACGTGCTTCACTCAAGAGAAACTTGATTTTATAGCAGAAGGGAGGCAAGAACAGGTTTTTAACAATTTATTAAAACCTTTCTGAAATACATTAGCATTGTGATTTGAAGTGGAACAGGGTGAGTATTGAAAAGAGATAGCAATAGAGATGCTTTAACTTAAGTGTTAGTAGTTTAAGAATTTAATTTAAAACTAAGATTCTTAAAAGGTTTTATGTGTCCTTATAGAATACCAGTGGATGTTTTAATACATTAGACCTTAATCCTGCAAACTAGGCTTTTAAAGCCTGAGTTTGTGGATAGCTGTCCTCAGTGGAAGAGGAGAGGGTAGCATTGTCCTAGACTGCATGTTCAGAAAGGCTTTCTCCTGTTACGTTTGTAGCTGTGCACTAGCAGATACTTGCTGGTGTCTGAGAGCAGCTGTAACAATCTGCCTGAGCTACTTTTCCCATGAGTGTGACCTGAGCAGGCGCAGTTGCTTTCAGCTGTTGAAGGAAGCATCTGAGAGGGCAACAGCTTGAGCCAGACCTCATCTTCAGTGCTCGGGTGCTTGGTAGACAGCTCTTAATTGCAGAGCAACTGTTATGATTGGGGGTGGGGGGTGAATGATGGTCTGCCACCTGATCCTTTCCTTCAAAACACCAAATCCAGCATCTTGTTGCATGTTTGGCTTCATTCATGTGCATGTGTGCATTTTAAATGTCTTTGGGAAATGTGGCCTGACATGTTATTTTTCTTTTGGCCGGTCATGAGGGTTCTTTTGGTTTGTGTTTTTGAGTTCAGATTAAAACCAGATTATTCTGGCTACAGAATGACACAGAAGTAATCGGACAAATGAGAGGGGGGGTGAGAGAAAAACCTTCAGGATGAGCTTGAGTGATGAGTCAGAAGTCTGTGTGCAGTTAGGAGTTGCATCATACAAATACAGTGTGATATCTGTTTGGTAAAACCAAGTTGTTTTGTTTTAATATTTAGTAGGTCAGATCTGTTATTTCTTACACGTATCATCCTGATCTTCATTGTCATGGGAAATGGGACAGACACATTGTAGCTTATCGTGTTTATATGCTGGTTATGTCTTGATGATTCATTGGAATTGCTTCTCTGTTTCAGGACCTGTAACTAAGTGGACCCTATTGGCCTCTGAACCACAAAGCATAAGAGTGAAAAGAAGTGAGAGAAACACGTGAAGAAAAAGGAAGTGAGGCACTTTCCTCTGGACTGCTTTCCTGCCCTTTATTACTAAAACTGAATGGAAAAGAGAGACTTCTGTGCCTTTCCTCCCCCCACCTCAGGGATGGGTGGATTGTAAATACAGTGTGTGCAGCTGGGAGAATAGACTGAACCATGAATCTTCAGGCTCAGCAAAAGTCTTCAAGCAAAAGGACTGGGAAACGAATTGCCTATTTTAATGAGCAGGAAATAGCTGTGTCATCAAAAGAACCTCAGCAGCCGCTGAAGGAAGGTCAGTACTATGGCCATGGAGGGAATATACCGGTCTCTCAAACTATGGAGATTCCTCATGCAGGAGGATTAACAAGTGCCCCCAACAATGTTGCTTTGATGAACTCTGTTTACAATCAAGATAGGGGAGAATCAATGATGATGCCCCAGGCAGTAACAGCTGTTAAATGGCAGAATTCCCTAATGGGAAATCGGTTGCCAGAGAGGGGTGACAGCCACTGGCAATCTCCTCCTTCGATGTGGAACCATGGTATGGTTTTTGGAGGCAACCCAAAAGGACCCCACTCCAATGCTGGTGCCCCAGGCTTCTATGGCCATGCAGAAGCCCTTAAAAGAAATCAAGAGAAAGGCGTGTTTGTGTCACAGCTGGACTTGTATGGAGATGCCGTCCAGCAGATGATGTCCCAGAAGGCTCAGCTGGAACAGCAAGCCCTAGTTAGGCAGCAAGCTCAAATGAATTCTTTTCATCAGATGCAGAAACAGCAGCAGCAGAATCAGAGTCTGCCGTTACAGCCTTTCCAACTTGCGTTTGGTCACCAAGGCCAAAAGCAAGGTCTTCCTGAATTGTTACACGTCTTTCAAGAAGCCCCAGCTTCTTCCAGTCCAGCATTTACTGCTCAGCAAAAACAGCAAGCTCTTCCCCAACTACAACTGTTTGAAAATTTTTATCCTCAACAGCAGCAGCAACAGGCTGCCGCACAAGCCTTCAGCCTGCAGCAGACTGCTTCCATAGCACAGCCTCATGTGGCAGCTGCAGCACCTCAGCATCACATGATGGCACACCAGTTTCAGCAAACAGAGAGGAACCAGGAGCTATTCAAGGCTCTAACAGAGCAGAACCAACAGACTGTGCTACCTCAGACCCAGATTCCCTTTCCAAGAAGGTCACGGCGACTCTCCAAAGAAGGTGTCCTGCTGACCTCTGCAGGAGAAGTGTTGGCTTCCAAGCAGTCAGAAGAACAACCTAGCAATTTATTTCTGCATCACTGGCAAACACATCAGCAAGAGGTCCCATTACAGCAGCCACCTGAATCACTGGCCCACAACAAAAGCAACTATTTGCACCCCAAGAGACTGGATCTGGGGCAGAAGGATGTCCTGGTCAATAGTGAGCTGTGCCAGATGGAAACAGACAGGCAAACCACAGCCCAGAATGGTAGAGATGGAGAGAAACAGGCAGCAGCAGCTGAAGAAAATACTCAGAGAACTAATGATTTTCAGGGTGTCAGAGGTGGTGTCATCCAGAGTACGCGACGGCGACGGCGTGTTTCTCAAGAAGCCAATTTGCTAACTTTGGCTCAAAAAGCTGTTGAGCTGGCTTCTCTTCAGAATGTAAAGGTAAGGTGTGCGTTCTTACTAATATAGTATGGTTTAGAGTACAAAATAGAGATGAAATAAAAGCAATTTAGGTGTGTAGGCAGGATAGGGTAGTATCTTGATGCAGGAAGTGTTGTGGTGCAGCAAGGGCAGCTCTGGAGTGCTGGTATGTAAGTTCAACTACTGTAATTCGTAGATGCGGGACAGCAGAGATCTAGTGCAGTGAAACCACCTAAGGGCAGTTTTATTTCACTAATACTGAATGTGATTCTAGCCCAGAGCTTCAGAAATGAATGTTTTCAGCTTAGGCCTCAAGCTGATCAGGATTTGAGAGTAAAAGTTTTTGGAGTATGTGCAGTTCACTTGGTGTCTTTTTACCAATTAACATTCTCTTCCTTTTATGTTAAAAGACTGCTGTTTACCTGCCAGTGTTACAGTTTTAACAGTTGAAGTGGTTCTAAACTGTGCTATTTAAAAATTACATAGTGCAATTTGTGTTCAATATTTTGCAAATACTAAAAGCCTGAAGAAGCCGCACTTGGATGAAGTTGTACCAGGAGTGATAAAGGTCTGTCTATGGTATCTTATTTGAGAATGACCTGCAGCGAATAATATAGATTGGTAACCTGAGGACAAAGGCTGCCTGTAGACCTTCTGTAGGGCTAGGTGGAGAAGAAGCTTAGTGCTGGCTGGTAAGTTAATTCACTACTCTTATACTTTTGGTGTCCCATCAGTCTGAACTGTACAGTATGTATTCCATGTGGCAAATGACAAAGTTCAAAATTAATTAGACTGATAATTAGGAGGAGAGAAGTGGTGGATTTTTTGACTTGGGTGGAGGGGTTTTGATGTTTTCTTTTTATGTTGTGGTTTTTCTTTTATCTTTTATTGAGTGTCTCCTAGGAGGAGAAAGATACACTTTTCTTTGGGAGCATTGTTGCCAGAGGCTGATGAAGTATGGGTGTTAGACCATGAGCATGCTTTTTACCTATAGTTTTTTCACTTGAGTTGCTGCCCAGTCAGTCAACAAAGGGAAAGGAATTTTATTCCCTCTCTTGTTCTTGTCATCATTTTTTTCCTAGTCCATTTGTGGCCATTTTTTCCAATCCCTTCTTTAGAGGGACGTGATTTTTGAGTGAAAAAACTGACCTACGAAACAATGAGGCAAATATCCATAGCCTAGTCCATCTCTTGCACAAGTGACTGTTGATGCTGTCTTCAATCCTTTTTTCTCTAACTCCCGTTGAGCAAGCAGATTTGATAGAAAACTAGTAGTAGTTAGCAGCATGAGCAATTTACTCATACTCTCCTGGGCACTCCAGGAAGGCCTGTAATTCACATTGCAGTCTGATTGCCCACAGAATGGCAAGAAACTAAATAGAGCATCTAGGAAAAGGCCCTGAGAGGTGAAGCAAGAAATTGGCCTTTGGAAGGCATGTCTGCTTGCAGCTTGATTCATAATGTAAAGACCAAACAGAAAAGTGTTTTGACAGATGCTCTTTTGTTCTTTGCAGTTACGCAAGCAGCTTGTTTGCTTCCGTGATGGCACTAGCAGAAGAGCTCTTTATGTTTCAGTCTCTTCAGGCTTTCAGGAAGATGTTTTGAGAGATGATAAAATTCTTACCTGAGGTCTAATGGATTTTACATGCTTGAGGGGTGGCTGACATGTAAGGGAGAAAAAGAAAACGTTTACTGGAGGAGAGTGGTCTGCTTCTCTTTATCAGTGTCTTTCTGTTACAAACAACCTAGAAGCCACCTCTAGCATAGGTTTTGTGAAGAACATGTAAGGCAGCCATAGGGTTAAATTATTAATGACAGACAATGCATTCATAATTTGAACCAGTTGTTTGAATGTTCCAGTGTCGGTGTGTGTACTTTATGCAAAAACAGTCTTTTGGACAGCACTATATGTCTACATGTAGTGTCACAACTGATGCTTTGCACCTGAGCTGCCCATTGTACTGTGCCTGCCTTTTTCAGGTGGTGCAAACTTACTGCTGCTTATGTCTCTGCAGCAGATTTCCAGCTCTTGGTTTTATGGCTTCATTTCACACAAAATGTTATATGTATAAACATGGTGTAGTTTTTCTCTGATAATGCAGAAAACTCTTCTCAGATCTAAAATGGTGTTCAAAGGGTGTCTGGATTTAAATACTTTATGGAAGGGAGAAAGAGGGTTTTTTGGCCTCTTTCCCCTGGCACAGGGCAGGGCATCAGCTGCCACACACATAAAGGGAGGGGTAGAGTGGGGGAGGAGGAGGAATATCCAGTTCTGGACTCACCTTCATTCATGGGCACCCTTCTGTTTGACTGCAGAGAGAAGCTGCTTTTACTGTTAGCAAGGTGATGCAGAATGCTGTCAGAAGGTGCTGTGTGGGCAAGTGTTTTGAAAAGGCTGGTGTGGTTTCTTGTCTGATCACAGCAGTGGCCTTGGAGCACTTCTTCTAGCTGTCCCATTTGGGTTTTGTCTGTGAATTCTAAATTTGTTTAGAAACCACTTGAGGGATAAACAGGATCCATGCCAGAATGACTGATGAGTTTCTGTGGATGTCTTGGAGGACTCCAGATCACTAGTTCATCCCTTATGCAAGAGTCTAAATAGAAGTGCAACAAGTTGCCTTGGTTTCTGCAAGAGAGATGCTGAGCTAGCTGAAAATCCCCGGCAGTTCTACAAGGGATTGTCCTATCCTTTGTTTGGTGACTTCTTTCTGCTTACCTCTGAGTGTAATCAAACAGTTGAGAAACTATTTAGGGATCTGAAACAAATAGCTTAATTCCAATATCGGTCATGTCCCCTCTTAGTAAAATTAGGTATGTGCCATCTTTCATGAACAAAAAAAGCTCTAGCGTGGACCACAGCGTCTTTAAGGATGTCTCAACTATTTAGATTAAGTTCCCAGTGGTGCCTTCTCTCTTATCTCTGCTACTGTTTAGCTCTCCTCCTTCTTCTCTTGAAGGGATCATCTTTCCCATCATTAAGGAAGAGAGTCCTTTGCTGGTTGCCTCCCAGTCTTGGAAATTGAAAGGAGCATGATTAACTGATCATAGAGCCAGAGAAATCTTTTGTGTGACTTGCTGCCAGAATTTCCCGCTTGTAGTCAGGAAATTAGTTCATGTTTCTTGACCTGCGCACAGGAAGTATCTGAAGTTTGCAGATCAGTCAGACTTGGTGCTTGTTCACACATTCATATTGCCATTACTTGTTTGATTGCTGTTATTCTCTCAGACACCCAGAAAGTATGTTGGAATGCTTGCACTAGAAACAGCTACACTAGGCAATGGTCTAAAGAATGTGCTATGAATGCACTGGTCTAACCAGTGGTGCAAAACACTGTGGAACTCACTGCTAGGAGACCTCAGACCTCAGCATAAATTTCCCTGATGAATGGAGGCCTACATACAGCCGCATGAAGCTGTATGTGAGCTGCTTCTTCACATATGGGCAGGACTTGTGAAAGTATGTATCTGATTCCAGCCTGTTTGTATGTTTAAAAAGGCATCCATAGTCTCTCTTTCCAAGAGTGGTGGAGGGAGGCTCCAACAATTTACAAGAGCCCCTTACTGTCTAGAGTAGCGGTGTCCCTAGTAACATACCCATCAGCATGATGAATGCCTTCCAAATTCAGAATCGGTAGTCTCATGGGAACGTACAGGTGTGTATCAGCAGCCTGGAGTGAAGGGAGGTTCTCAGGGCTCATTAATTCCTTCTGCAATGCAGTCTGGGGCAGATGATGCCAGTTGTGACTTTTCAGTTGCATGTTTCATTGTGTGGCGTGGGGCAGATATCTCCAATCTTTGTGAAGAAGCAGTCAGACTTATAAACTGCAGTGTCACTTATGGGATAAGCCTTTCTGTGTACTCTTAGTCTTACTTTATGGAAGGAGGCAGTCTTAAATCTTCTTGATATGATTGATTTTATTTGCTCAAGCTTGGCACCTAGTTTTTTTGAAGGCTTAGTGCTTCAGAGTGGACTCTTTGATCTTAAAAGCAACAGAAAATACTAGGACTCTTACTTGGAGAGCAGCCAGAGCACTAACTCCAGGCTCTGACTGACACATCTTGTGACAACACAGTTGTGCTTCCCTCAATATAAATATACTATCAAAGTCAGACTTTAGTCTAGTGTCCTAGCTATTATGGGTTGACTCTTCCTGGGCCAGTTGGAGCATGTTCTCTCATCAGTGAAGTCAGCTTTCATGATCTGTGACCACAATGAAATGACTGGGGGTGGTGGTGGTGGTGTCTGAATACTTGACAGAACCTCCTTATGCTAGCTTTTAAATCAAGATTAATGTTCTTAGTGGCACACAATAGATTCTTTTTTGAGATCTTCAGTAAATCTCTGCAAAACTTTGTAAGTTCAGGTAAGAGACCTCTTTGTCATACCTGAGAGATAATGTGCCTTGGTTTCCACCTATGAAACTTAGCTGTTCAGGTAGAGAGAGATGCCTTAGTAGATGGTGGCTTTGGTAAGTTTGCATAAGTAATTCTATCCAAAGGCTTTCCAAACAGAGCTCTAAGTTGGAGAGAAGCTCTGAAACATCAAAAGGAGCATCTTCTATGGCTTGTAGATTGCACTTCTTCAGAGGTTAAGAAGGCTGAAGACAACAGGTCGTTTGGAAAGTTGTACTTTAACATGTAGCTTTTAAGTGAGCTGGCAACTGCTTTTGAATGAAGAATGGAATGAACATGTAGATAGTCATTTGAAGGACTAGAAATCAGTGATCTAACAGTGCATGAAGCCATTTGGTGTTACAGTAACTGTGTGTTTATTCAGTAACTAATCCTTCATTCTCGTCTCCTTGGAGCTCAGTTTTCTGAGGTTTCCATGAGTGTAAAAGAAAGCAGAAGCATGGAAGCTGTAATACCAGTGCATAAAGTGCTGGCTTGCAGGTATGCCTTGTTGATTCTGCTGAGGAAAAGTCCTTCAGGCTCACGCAAACAAACCTCAAAGGCTTCAGTTTTAATAATGAAAGTTGCTTCTGTGATGTAAATGAGAAAAAAAATGCAGCAAAAACTTAGCTCCATTTTTTGTATGAGAGATTTAATTAAGATTATCATGGTTCAGTCTTTCCTGGAACAGAGGTCCAATATTTGAAATTAATAACCTGCAGCTTTTGATCATTACTAAAACTGAAGAAACTTTGCTGGAAGTTATTTGGCAGGGCACAAGTTCATCTGGAAAATAAAATGTCAAACCACAGGTAGTGAAGTGAGACTGAAGGGTGATGTATACAAGTATTCTAGCAGTTGAGACTTCAAGCAATCCTCAAGTATTCTTTTTCCTCAAATAATTCTTTTCTAAATCATTTCAGCTTGCAGGTTGCATTGAGAAACTTGATATACACTGAAAGTGAGATACTCTCTGACCTATTATGTAGGTACTGCAGAACTTTTAAGGAATCTGTTTTTTTTCTCAGGAAGCAGATACTTCAGAAGAAAAGAGTGTGCTGATAGCAGCTCCAGGACCTACAGCTGCAAAAAGTGTGGTGGAATTTGCCAGTTCTTCACCAGCTCCCAAAAGAGCCCGAGAGGATAACAGCCTCGTGCCTCTTATCATTCCCGTGTCTGTGCCAGTCAGAAAAATTGACTTGCAGAACCTTGGAAAAGAGAAGTCTGAGGATGGAAAGCTTCAGAGAGGCCAAACAAATGATCGAGCTCCTTGTGAACGCAAGCCTTCTGTGATAGTCACTCGGAGGCGATCTAATCGTAATACTAACATGGAAACCTCAAATCAGGTATGGATAGAGTAAGAAACCAAGGATGACCCAGATCTGTAGATTTAACGATGTAGTTTTTATCCCTAAGCCTTTCTGTTAAAGTTGTTTGATCTCAAGGCTTGAACTTGGAATGGATATAGTCTGGGGACTGTGGATTTTTGCCATTGTAATATTGCCATATATTTGGACATCACCAGCTTTTCATGGCCTACCTACAGCTAATGCTAGTACAGCCTAGCCATGCACCACTATTAAACAATGATAAAGCCAGATGGTGAATAACACTAGAATAAATTGGCTGAATAAAGACTGCTTTCTCCTTACATACAGAGATGATAATAAGCTGTGAGTAGTGCACTTATCTCTGTATCTGAATAAAATCCAAAATGAAGATTTCTTATCACCATTTTGTGTTTAGCCTGTGTCTGTACTGGTGATCTACTATACTTTTGTGTCCTCTTTTAAAGCTACCATGAGGTCACTAGGTTGGACAAGATATGTAGGTAGTTTTTGTAAAATACAACTTTATAAGCACTCGGAGCTAGTATTGCTACCTAATACTCCTGTGTCCATTCCATTCCCCATCATCTTCCTCCCTCTTTCCTTTTGTGCTAACTGTTGAGACACCCTCCAACTGTCCTAGCCAGACTTTGAGTTGCCATGAAAGAAAGTTGTCATCTCACTGCAGTTTTGCAAAAGACCTGAGGTTTCAAAATGAAACTAAGAAAGTAATTTTTTTCTAATAGCATGAAGATGCTGTTCCAAAGGATGAAGCAGAGGGCTTTGCCCGGAAACCAAAGCAGAGGCCACGACCTGAGCCACTCTTCATTCCACCAAAAGCTGGCACCTTCATTGCACCACCTGTTTATTCTAACATTACTCCGTATCAGAGCCACTTACGGTCACCTGTCCGTCTGGCAGATCATCCTTCTGATAGGAACTTCGAGCTACCTCCTTACACTCCCCCACCAATTCTTAGTCCAGTCAGAGAAGGATCTGGGCTGTATTTTAATGCTATCCTCTCTTCAAGTGGTCATTCTGTTCCACCTCCGATGACTCCTAAAAGTGCTCACAGAACTCTGCTTAGATCAAGTAAGTTCCACTTTATCCTTCCTTTCTTGGCTATTTTGTGATTAGGAACTATGGAGTAATAGGAGGAAGATCATGACTTTAAGAAGTGTGGTTATGTGAAACTGTGTCTTCTTCATGATGGTTGGGGGAGCTAGGATGGAGGAAATGCAGTGTTGCTTTCATCGGGGCATACCTTAAAATGCATTCACAAGTGATCTGCAACACCCCCTATTGACGTTCTTAGGAATGGAAAAGACAGTTCCTCTGTAGTAAGATTCTCCCTGGCTTGAACTGAGGGGACTGTTAAGATGTAGATGGTGACTGGAAGGTAAGTTCTTGGTCATCTTAAAGCCCTTTAGCATATGGGTACCTTTTTTGAGAGATGGATAGCTCTGATTAGATTTACAAGCTGTGTGAAAAGGGCATCTCAGGTACGAAGATGAGCTGTCTGAGCAGTTTTTCTTTTCCTTGCAGACAGTTCAGAAGTTACTCCTCCTGTTCTTACGGTAGTGGGGGAAGCCACGCCGGTCAGCATTGAACCGTAAGTTCCCAGTAGATTCTTAGCCTGGTAGTAAATGCGCTTCCTTTCTTCTTCCTGAACCTTCAAGCTGCTCCCTGTACAGCTGATGGGTGTTTTAGAAACACTGAAGCTATTCATATTGGTGACTGAAAATTGCCTTTATTTAAAAATTACTCGACATGATAAATAACGTTTGTTTGGGCAAATTCACCTCATAATTTTGATGATGTTAACTGCTTTCTGTTACTGCTCTGGGGTGAAATTATTGGTTAGCTAAACATTAATCTGTCCTGTTTTGTTGCTTAAAACAGGTTTAGAGTGAGGAGATAATGATTCTTTAGAGGGAGGCCAAAACTTAGTATGGAAAAATGTAGTTAGCTCTCGTGGATTGTTCAGATTGCAGGTTATCCTTGTGGTGGGAATTAGCTGCAGTGCAACTGTGAACATGACTTTGCTCCATGCTGGGGTAGCTCAGTCTTGAAAGCACTACAGCCAGTTGCATACAGTGTCTGTGGCCTGAGCTAATAAGCCTCATTAGTCTTTTTAGCTGGCTGTGTGCTGGGAAAGTTCAGGCATATGTGGACTCAACAGCATAGGGAACACAGTTTGAGGATATTGAAGCTGGAGTTACAAGCTTAGACGTGGTGCCAGTCTGGCTAAACCTGAGCAGAGTAGCAAAAAAGCAGAATAGCATAGCCCTTGCAAACCACCTGGAAGTATTACCAGCTGAAGTTCAGTGCTACAAAACTACAGCAAGGTAGTTCCGATTCATTATTACATTTAGGTTAATGAGCTCTTGTGAAGTCTAAATGTGGAGATGCATGGCATGGAAACACCCATATAGCATAAAAACATCCACATGGCTCTGCATTGCTGACTCTGCAGTCAGGAATTTCTGCTCTAACTGCACCATATCCTGTAACATTTGTGATATTTAACTCAAAGTCTCCCCAAATAAATACCAGGCTGCTTTTACTTCCAAAATGGCTTATGTTTTAACTGGAGCATTTGCTGTCTGCTTTTTTTTTCCCCTCATCCTTCTTGCATTCTGCCTTCCTGTTTGAAGCTGAGTTTTGGCTACAGGCTGTCCTGAGCAGATGTTATAACTGAATGAACCCAGGTTGTTCTTGTCACCTATGCAGATCCCTTCCAGACTGAGCCCATTCATGGAGACAAGCACTTTTGGGGTTGTCTAAATCTGTTTTGAAAATGGCTTAATTAATCTTCTTGTTGGTGGTTCATTTCACGCTAATCCAGGGGAACCTCCTCTTGAACAGATTTTTTTGGTGCGTTCCTCTCCTGACCCCCACCTTAATGTTTGACCTGTCTCTGGTGCAGTTGTCATTCCTGCTGTGTCTTGTTTAAATTGCTGAAGTTAATGACATAAAGTTAGCTGCAGTTTTAGTCTTGTGTGACATTTTTCAGATTTCAGAAATTTCAAACCATAGTAATTTAGTGACACAAACTGGTTTCCTGTTGCCAAAAGGGTGTTATGTACAAAGAGTTGTCTTGCTGTCACCAGTTTTACTGAGCAGATGCTTATGCACATAGATAGCCTTAACTTTTAACCAAGATACATTAACAAACTGCTGTCATTCCTTGTTGTCAAAGTAATCAGTTTGCTGCTCTAAAGCTAGCTTGTGCAGCACTGTTGCAGCCAGTTATGTGGACGTACCTTCTATAAAGGAAGTACGGCCAGAAGCTTTTCTTTAAACATTTAATTTGATCTGTAGTGGTGACTCCATTGACTATAGCTTGTGATTACCTGATATTGTGTTAATTGCTTATACTTTGCAAGACCTTTTGCTAATGCTTTTCGAAAGGTCATTGCATTGCAGAGATTTGCAATAGGAAATGGGATAATGAAGCTTAGTTTTTCTCTTTGTGAAATAGTACAACAGGCAGCTGATGTTGCAGATCCTTGTGTCCTGCTGATTTTTTAGTTCAGTTGCTTCAAAGTCTTGAAGTCACCCCTCAGCCAGCCTTAAGTATAGCTGTGGTGTCTCAGCTCTGAATTGCCTTCCCAATTCACAGCCTCAATTCTGGATGCTACCACACTCAGCTGTAAACCAGGGCATCCCAGGAACACTGTTGGTGCTTACAGGCAAGAGCTTTTGCTATACTGAAATCTAGGCTTCATTAGTGAAGGGATCATGGAATAACGTAACTTGAATGGACTTCTGGAGGTCATCTGGTCTAAGCCCCTCCTTTGCGCAGGCCAAATTAGATCAGGTTACTCAGGTGAACTCTTCAGTAGGAATCTGGTTTTATTTAGGCATTGCAGGTACAAGGGCAAATTCTTGGGCTTTTCTATCTTAGGAATGCCATATTCTAATATTAAAAGTAGCTTCTGATAGCCTTTTGATGTAGCTCACTTCTTTCACTCCAACAGTTGCCTCTCTCCCTCTCTCAGGTGAGGCCAGAGGAGTCCTGTGTCTTAGGACACAAAATCTCCCAAATTTCCCAATGCAGTAACAGGCTTTTTATCTGTTCCCAGCTGACATCAGTGTGTCAGTTTGCAGCAGTCATCCCTTCTAGGGTGGATCAAAATCCATAACCTTTTCCCTGCCCTGTGAAACTGCAGGCCAAAACAATAAGGGAGACTAATCACAGTAAGCAGAAGACTCCACATTAACCTCCTGTGTCACCTGCTGGAAGGAAGTTAGCATCAGCCTGCGCATCCAGCAGATTCTGCTTGTGCAAGTGGGAATCCCAACCCGTCCATGCCAGGCTGCTGCTGAACATGTGGATGAAGTCAGAACAAGTGTGTAGGGGAGTTATCTAATGTATCTCTTCATTTATGTTCACATGCATTGTAAGCCATTCCCCTCAAGTGTGAGGGAGTAGATCTGGATCTGCTACAGATGCAAAAGAAATAGTTTGTAAAATATCTTTTTATGTGTGTTAGAAGTCAGCCATTTGTTTTGAATGCAGGCTTTTCCTACTTACAAGATCTCATGATGCAGATGCTTACAGGCAATTACCAAAGTGATGTGTTAAGCAGAAAAAAGAGAATGAAGGTTTTCCCTTATTCCCCTTCCACAACAGAAAATGATACCCTCTTCCTTCCTTTTGGTACCAAAGTCTTTTAGTGATATTTCAGAACAGCAGAGGATCAGAAGAGGCTGGCATTTCTCAGCTGGTTTTGTTACTCTTCCTTATTGTGCTAGATCATGCTTTTTCTCTGGTAATTGTGTTTTCCCTCATGCTGAGGGAGAACCAAGCCAAGACTTTCCAATGAAGCAACTCCAGGGTTTAATCATCTTGTGGGTGCTGCCTGACTACTCTCTCAAAAAAAGAGCTTATTTATCTGTCCTTTACTATTTCAAGTGCTACCAGTATAGTGCTAGTTGACTGAGTCCTGAAAGAGGAACGCTTTTGCACATTAAGCATAGATATCTTATTTTAGAATATGAGATTTTCATTATATTCTGAGTGGTCTGAGCAGCAGCTGTTCTCCAATATCTTGGTTTTCTGGCATCTTTTGTTTTCTGAAGGGTCTTTTTACTATCTTAGCTTGGACTCTTGCTTCTGGACCTCTGAATTGCATGCATAGTTGCTATATTACTGCTATATTACGCTATATTACTTAGAAAGTTGTCGTTGGACTTACTTCACTCTGAGTTTGTGTAGCTACTGCTGTCTCAGTGTATTTTGCCACAGAGTAAGAGATGTAGAGTAATGACAAATGATATCCGTGCTCTCACTGCTTGCTGCACTATTGGTATAGACCTCTAGACCTCCAAGTCTGGTAGAGCAGTCTTAATGGTGGTTTTTACCTATCTCTGTGCACAAAATCATGTTTGCTAGTAAAGAGTAGAATCTCTGTGGATGCTCTCTTAAAGCATGTGGATTGCATGTTGTGAAAAATCTCTGTGCTAATTCAGACCCTAGAAGTATGAGATTGCTGCTAAAAGAATGGGGTTTAGTTTTGATACAGAATGAGCAATACCACTTTCATTGGTTTATATTTTCTGTTTCCATTATTAGAAATAGTTTCTAGAAGATATTAGCTTGTGTCAAGATCCTGAAGGACAAAAGTTTGAGATTGATCCTGCTTTGAATGGCAAGTTGGACCAGATAGTCTCCAGAAGTCCTTTTCAACATAAATAGTGCTATAATTCTGTAGTTATGGCTGGCAAAACATTAATACTAAAACAGGCTTCTCTTAGGCATGAAGAGCAAACTTGCCATAAAAGAAGTCTGTGTGACAGCCTCTCAAAAAGTGATGATTATTGAAAGCTAGTAACTGTTCTTTGAGCAGTTATTAGGGGATCCCAATTTAAATACAATTTCAACCATTGTTGATAAGACAATGGGAACTGGTAATGGATGTAAAACCTCTCACCTTTTGAGTCATACTTATTAATGTAACCTGCAGCACCTGAAAGCTGTTCATGTTTTATGCAAGAGCCTGCTGTGTTTCAATTTCATAATTAGTGCTTCTAGCAGAGATGGAGACTTTCTGGATATTGTAAAGTGGGGCTGACTGTTACATCTTACCTCTTCTGCAGGCGAATAAATGTAGGAACTCGCTTTCAAGCAGAAATCCCATTGCTCCAAGACAGATCTCTGGCAGCAGCTGATGAACATAAAGCAGAGCTGGTGTGGCAGCCGTGGGGTGACCTGGAAACCAACAAAGTCACCCAAGAGAATGGTAAGAATGTGGAAGGCTGGTAAATCGGACTGGATTGTCACAGTAGCTGTAGGGGTAACCACATATCTACTGCAGGCATAATTAAAAGTCTCTTAAAGCTCCCAGTCGCAGACAAGTTTGAGTAGTCTTGAGCACAGTCTTAGGAGTAAAACTTACCAGGTTGCAGGTGTTGGTGGGGAGGTTAATAGGGTTGGGTTTTTAATTAAGATTAAGATAAAATTGGACCATTAATTAAGATAAATTTGATTTATCTTATTAATTAAGGTAAAACTGAACCATTTGTTACTAGTCAGGCAAAGAGCAGCCTTTTGCTCAGTGAAGCTTCGTTGTCTTTGTTAACATTTGAAAACCACATCCTCTCAACTTCTGTATTTTCAAGGGGTGTTCTAGATATAATAGCATTTTGGAAGAATCAAGTTGTAGGTGGAAGTCAGGATGAGGAAGCAGGAGCTGTGGCAACCTAGTAGCCAGACTTGGGCAGCTGTCTGCTGTTTGGTGCGCATAGGTTTTGGCGTGTATAAATCCTGAAGGGAAGAGGAAGTGAGCAGACTTAGAAGAGACCTTTCTGATGAGAGAGTAAAAAGGGTATGGGGAAAAGGAAGTTAAAATATAAGGGGAGATTCAGGAAGTCTCTGAGGTGAAGGGAGATGGGGAGGCATTGTAGGAGAGAGGAGATTTGCAAGAAACTCCATGTGTAAATAGTGCTGAATGCAGAGTAATGCCACATGACCTTGTGGTTCTGGCATCCAGATTTGACCTAGATAAATTTGCAAGGACATTCAACTTCTCCAATAGCTTTATTTTCTGTTATGTCTAGCCCTGCTTCAAAAGAGCTAATTAACTGTGCGAATCCTGTAGGAAACTCCATTTTAATCTTCTTATCTGAATTTGTTTGGTACCTCTGTGGAAACAGTGGAAAACCTGCTAGCTGCTGCCTGTTCAAGCATTTTTCCTGGGGCTGGAACCAACCAGGAGCTGACGTTGCATTTCTTACATGAAGCAAAGGGAAGCATTCTGGTGAGTCTTCCCAGCTTTTCACCCTGATGTGGTGAGAATGTTAATGAAGGCCAGGTAACCTGTCATTCCTGAGGGGAAATCCTTGCAAACTCCTTTCTGTGCACCTAATTCTCACTGTTTAGTGTCCCTTGGATGTCCTTAAAGTGGGTTCTGCCTGATGTATCATGCCATGTTCACTTACTGTCTTGCATGTTTCCAACTTCATCATGTTTGGCTTTTTAACAAATAGACTGACAGGGTGAGTGAGCCGAGACTGTTAAATGAATCTTAAATGTTGTCTTCTTAGAAGATGACCATGTTGGAAGGAAAAATAAGAGGCTGGGCTGAAACCGAGGCCATAATGCAGTGTCTTGCTCCCCTTACTTTTGGCAGGTCCATTTAACTTCCCTGCACTTGTAGGGAACAGCTGTGCTGCTGATTTTATATTGGTGTTGTAAGACATGATTCACCTTCATAATGCCTTTTGACACCCCTGGGCGGTAATATCAAAGAGCAGAGCATAGCATATGGCACAGGGTTGTCATCCTTTTATAGCTCTATGATTGATTTGACCTGGTATAAATCAGCCCTGTCATCAGCAATATCCCATGTTCTTGCCTGGCTGCTTGTTTTCTGCCCCTGTAGTGTGCCAGCACTGACACTTGTGAGACTGCATTGGTCTGTGTTGGAGAAGAAGACAAATAAAAAGTAATTTCTGTGTGTTCATGTTAGGTTTGTGCTAGTAAGGGCCCCAGAACCAGTCTACCATTGTGAATACTGTTGCTGGCATTAGGGAGGAGCAGGAGCTCACTGTTAGCTGGTTTAAACTGCTGATGGAAGCATGACTCCACTCCTTCCTTCCTGCTAACTTTGAAAGCACTTCTAGTTTAAATGCAAAGTAAAAAGCATGAGAGGTTTGGTTTTTTTTGTAATCTTTGTCACATGACTGCTGTGTTTTATTTTGAAGTATTGCTTAGTTAAGTGAGATAAGATCACAGTGACTTGAATGTGTCAGACGGACATCATTTAGGGCAGCAGTCTGGGATGTGGGTATGTAACTGAGGCCTTCGGTAAATGAGAAGAAACTGCTGCATGGTCTCTGTCTATGGAATTAACTCTCTCCCAGTACTGTGGTGGTTGCATTGGAAAGCATCAGTTCACAGAGATATGAATTGGAGCTGAGAGCTTACACTTGCCTGTGGTACCCAAAACTCAGTCTTGATAGTCAAGAATGTGATTTTTAAAGTTGTCCCAAATGTTGAACTGTCCCAAATGTTAAACTGTGTTATGGTTCCTTTCAGTGAGCTTACCAGAAAGGAGAGGATTAACAGTTGCCTGATCGTTGATTTAAATACTCCAGACCTTAAGTGAATTATTTTGTTTGTCTTTATCTTAGGGAGCTTTGACCAAACTGCTGTTGCAGAGGCCAGTACGATCACCTACCCACCCTTTGGCAGATTATCACTACACAGGTTTGTTAGCCAGAAAAACTCTGTGCTGCCTGTCTATCATAAAGCAATTTTTCTATCCTTTTATGCTCTTTTGGGGAACTCTTGAACGTTACAGTAAGATGAAAAGATCACTCTTCTCTCTGATAAACCAAATGATGGCTTGCTAATAGTTTTGCCTGTGCAAATTATGACACTTAAAACATAAGAAACACTGCATCTCTCAGAATATGTGCATGTGTGTGTTCTGATTTCCTTTATGGGAAAAAGGGAATGTGATCCCTTACACTAAGCCACAGAGAAAGATAGATAGTACGTACAGAAAGGCTGTGGTAACCTCAGAACCACGGCCTTGTTGGCATAGGTTTCTAGAGTGCAGTTCAAAGGGGGTTTTATGGGAAGCGTTTTCAAGCTTGCTGAAGAAAGCTCAGCCAACTATTGATGCATGTCAGTGTTTCTGCAGAATTTAAATGCCATGAACTGCCTTTGTAATACTGCACCCAGTTAGAAAATAGTCAGGTGTTTGACACTGACTTCAGTTATCTAAGAGTGACCCCAGCCACCTGAAAGACCTGATATAAAGTGACATCTAGTAGATGTCTAATAGTTGACACTACAAAGCACAGAGGTTACATTTCTTCATTATCACACACCCTTACTGTAATGATTGGGAAAACTTATTTGAGTAATACCTGTATGGCAGGAGGAAATTCCAGAATGTGTTTATTATTAGAGGCAAGGGTGCTAGGATAGCAGGAATATTTGAGATACAATGCATCTTCAAGTACAGTGGATTGCTGCTGAAAGAGAACCTCTGGTCTCCTGTCCCATCATCTCCCTTGTATAGAATCTAATGACCAGGTCACCACGAAGTGTGTCTATTCACCCTGCTTTTTTTTGTTGCAAACTATCTTAGCTCATCTACTTGACACATTTTTGTGGTGATAAGTACTAGATCTAACACAGGGCAAGTGATGAGAGGAGGGCTGAAGCAGTAGAGGACCGGTTAACAGTAGTCTGCAGTGAAGCTGGATTAGGTGTGATGAGAGACTGCACCTTTGCATGTGTGTATTGGTCTTGAAGGCAAAGCATGTATAAGAGTAATCAACTGGAATGACTTCCATTACAACTGTTTCTTTCTACAGGATCAGACAAGTGGAAAGTTGCTGAAAAAAAACTTTTCAACAAAGGCATTGCAATCTACAAGAAAGACTTTTTCCTGGTCCAAAAGCTTGTAAGTTACTTTCCTGCCCTGTTTGTTGTTTTTTCTTTTTTTTTTAAATGACAGCAGTAATACATTCCTGATATATTTTTACATGTTTATTGAGCATTTAATGCAGGGAGTTCCTGAAACCTCAGTATTAAGCATGAAGTTCTGGATTGAAGATTACAGAGAAATATTACTATCCAGCACAGCACAAAATCTCACTAGAAAGCTAGAACAATAATGTTTGGTTTGCTGTTCTTATTTAGTTAATCCTTGTACTTCCTGCATTAGTTCCATTAGTTCACACTGCAGATACCACTTTTGCAGGGTGTATTTACAGAGCAGAGCACTGGTAATGTTCTGGTTCAGCTTAAATAGCTTGCTTATAAAACTAAATAGGAGCACATCTTTGCTACAGGTGAAAGGTACCAAAGAATGATATATGAATCATTTAGGATCTCTCTTTCTAGTTTACTATGACAATGATAGTAAAAATGATTGCCCCCATCTACTTTCATGAGGCATGACACTTCAGTGGGGGGCAAATCACTGCAAATCACAGCAGGAGCTGTATATAAAAGGCATTCAACTTGCAAAAGCCCAGAAGCTAAGAATGTATGCCAAAACTTCTAGAAAGATCACTGACAGAGGACTTGTAGACCATCACAGGTCTGTGCTGATCGTTGGCTACCACCATGTGTATGAAGTGCATGTGGCCAAAATGGGAAAGGGCTGCAAAGCTTCCTTGCCATTTTTGGTTTGGTATTCTCTGAAGCGCTGCTGGAAAATAAAGCTCCCCCGTAAAACTGAAAGGCTGCTCTCAAGCCTGACAGCTCAATTGGAACATTTCAGAGGTGAAGAGGTGCATTAAGTTTACAAAATGCCAGGTTCTGTCACCTTTACACTGACCATCTTTTCTTTGGAAAGTTGGTCCTGTAGTTGCCAGTGAATAACAGTGGCAGTGGGGGACGGGCTGTGGGATGGATGGGGCATACAAATGAATATGACACAGAAAAGAAGGCTTGAATGGCTGTTGTGGTGGAATGGAGACTACTGAGGAAAGAAAAATACAGTGTATTTATTGGACCTTTAGTAATTATTTATGAGACTTCTTAAAATCATGTTATTGACTGGACTTTCATGTGTTTTAAACACCAGATAAAAACCAAAACGGTGGCCCAGTGTGTGGAATTCTACTACACATACAAGAAACAGGTGAAAATTGGTCGGAATGGGACCTTAATCTTTGGGGACATTGATGCTGCTAACGAGAAATCGATAAAAGATGAAGCTGAAGTAGACATCAAGGTAGTTTCCTTAATTTTTCTCATGTTTGGGTGGTGGTGTGAAGTCTGAATTTGTGTTGTCTCACTTGTTGGTAAAATCAAAAGCTAGAACAGTCTGGCCGGTGTGGAGGAGTCCAGACTCAAACCCGTGTCCTGTGTCACGTAAGGATGTGTACTTACAAACACTGAAATTAACAGTTCCTTTATCTTCTGGTGAAGAGTTCCCATAGGTTTGCACGTGTTCTTCCTCCCAGAAGGGACATCTATAGTGAAGAACAGGGGCATGTGGAGGAAGAAGAGGAGGAGGAAGAGGAGGCAGAGGAAGGGTTGGATAACAGAAAGAGCAGCACAGTTCCTCTCAAAGATGAGCAGACGCTACAAGATGGTGTAACAGTAAGTGCTGCATTGTGCATGTTGTGCTTTCCATGCCACCTTCACTCTGCAACTGGTTTAGAAAACAGCAGGTGAACAGTTCCGCATGTAAAAAGTTTCCACCTCTGACTTCTCCCAGAGCAGGGGACTGGGCTGAGGTAGCTTAGAGTACTCCTAGCAAACCAGACTGTGTGCTGTGGTGGGAGAACAGGGATGAGTGTGGGGGAGGGAACCAATATAATTCTTTGTGGTTGGTGCACATAGGACTATGATGAGAACTGTCCAGAAAATATGCTGAAGGCTTTCTCATTAAATAAAACCTTGGAATAAATGAAGCAGAGGAGCTCAGACATTGTTTTCCTTTTGATGGTGGGTTTAAGTTGCAGTTTGCGTTAACTGTCCCCTTCTCTCCAAAGGCCAATGATGCCAATCTGAGGAGTCAGGAGGCCACTGTCACAGGAAGAGTTGGAAGGAAGCCAAGGGAGGCAACAGTGAAGCCTCGAAAGCCTATTGGTGCTCCAGTGCAGAGGAGGAGGCGGAAACAGAAGATAAAATCAGATGCTACCAGTAAAACTCAGAGCACAGAAAATGCATTTCCATGTAAAAAATGTGGCAGGTAAGAGAAACTTCATCGTAGCAATACAGCAATAGTAACAGAACTGCAGTGGTGCATCTCCTGTAGAAGCTTATTCTCAGATGAGCTTTCCTTCTGCCTGTTTAGGCCAGAGACACTGGCAATACTTTTAATGACCCGTTACCCCCCTAATACTCACAGATTAGGGTTTTTTACATATATTGATATTTAGATACCACTACTTGGGTAACTACCCCCTGCTGACTGTTTTTTACTCAGATGGAATAAGACACCACCTGCATTCCAACTGTGTGCACTATTTGGTGTTAAGCTGCGATTTCAAACAGCTCCTGTATTGCCCTTCTGTAATGCCATTTTTTTTGGAACAAGTAATTTCTATATATTTGCTAAATCACCTATTAAGAACATGGTGTAGACTTACTCATGAACAGTGGCATAGAAATGCAAGACACTACCATTGTTATGACAGCAGGTATTAGGCCCATGGGCACACAGTTCATCTGGTTAAACTTGCACCTATCTTTTGTGTCCGTAAAAGATACATTTGTCTTCCCTTACACGACAGTGCTAGTAGGGTTTGTAGGTTTGTTGCCAACAGACTCACAAGCTTCAAGAAAATTGAATTCCCTACATAAATTGCTTACTTTTAAAACAGTGGTCTTGTCATACCAGTGGTGAAACCTGTATTTAAAAAAGGCACCAAGCAAGGGGATGGCAAGAAAATGCAAATTCTGTCTAATTATGCCATCAGAGCTGTTGACAGATTCCTGCTCTGGCTGGGACTTAACTGGCCTTGACAAGGTGCCCTGTCTCTGTGCCCTCAGGGAGCGTGTGGCGTTGGAGAGGGGAGTGCTGTGAGAAGTCAGGCAGCTGGGATTTGGTCCTGGCCACTGATAAAGGAGAAGCAAGCAAGGATTCTTAATGGTGTCTTAACTTTTCTTGTGGCATTTGGTGCAAAACCCAAATAGTTAGTAGGAAAGATGGAGAGATAGATCGTAAGTATGAAGTCAGGAGGAAAAAGCTCAAGTGTTTCTGGCTGCGTGGACAAGGCTCAGGAGTGGCATTCGGCTGTTGTTCACCTCCATGTTTATTACTAGCACTGCCTCTCTAAACATTTAAGAGTTGAAGGAAAAAGTAAGAGGAAATAGACATATTAAGAAATGAAGTGAGCAATTTGAGGGTGCTCGGGATGTCCTGCTGGCATTCCACCCAGTGCTGGCACACACAGAATCAGAAGTGCTGTTTGCTGTAGATGTTCTGTGCCAGTGCCAACCTGAGTTCCTGTGCTGAAGCTCACAAACTTTTGGGGCTAGAGCAGCAGAAGCTCTTTTGGAGAATTAATGAAGGAGGCTGTAGGAGAGGCCAATGCTAATGTATGTGTGTGCTTCCTCAGGGTCTTCTACAAGGTGAAGAGCCGCAGTGCTCACATGAAAAGCCACGCAGAGCAGGAAAAGAAAGCAGCTGCACTGAAGCAGCAGGAGAAGGAGGCAGCAGCAGCAGTGGCAGCGGCGGCAGCAGCAGCAGCAGCCCACAGCCAGGCACAGCAGGAAGAGAGCAGCGAGAGTGGGAGCAGCAGCAGTGGAAGCAGCAGTGGGAGCTCGGATGAAGAAGGAGAAATATAGCAGCAGAGCAGAAATGGAGGGAGTAGCAAGGCTGGACCCAACCTCCCTCTTGGTGGCTTTACTTTTATTGCTTGCACTTTTCTTCCCTGAACTATCAGGTCTCAAGTTTTAGTGCTGCCATTTCCTCATGCCACATGTTCCACTTCACCTTGCCAGTACTGACCAAGCCGGAATGGTGGATGAAAAGATTTGTTTCAACTTGGAATTTTTTTCTTTTTTTTTTAACAAATAAGATTTCTATTCTATTTATAATGATAACTGAGGTACATAATAGAACAATGTCACCTGCAGCGGAAGGAAGTTCTCTCAGGTCAGTCAGACCTTTCTTTTGTGCTTGTCAGGAATCATGCTAACAGGACTCTTGGATATAAAGGTTTCCAGACTGGAGCAAGAAAATGTTGCTCTGCTCTGAGCCAAGTGTGTCCAGTTACTGTGACACTGGTGATTTCTAGATGTTTCCTTTCTCAGCAAGTTCTCCTTCCTGTTACTTCCTGCCTTTCTTTCTGAGCATTTATTCAGGCAGCCAATAAGTTTTGTGGGAAGATGGTGTGCACTTCTGGCCTCTGATTCACAAAAGTGGGGTGAGCAAGACGGGCTTCTTCCTGTTGAGAGAGCAAGTTTTCTTTTTCAAAAGGAAGCCAGAGGTGGTTCGTTGTTCATGCCATTAAGAATGCAGCAATGGATGTAAAAATACCACGTGGGACTAGAATAGCCGCAGGCCTTGTGGGTTGTCTTGTCTTGGAAAACAAAATAGTCTGCCTTTGATTAACTTAATGGAAAGTAGTCTGGGCTTCACAAGTGCAATTTGAAATGTAAACTGCTGGGCTTGACTTTGCATAAATGGGAGCAAGTTTGTTTAGTGAAAATGAACCAAGACTTTCTTGTGTGCACCTGAGAAATGGGTGGAATGGACACTAATCTTTAGCAGTGATCCCTCTGTGAATGGCTTTTACCTCTCAACACATCCCTTTCTTTCTTGCAGGAGCCCTCTTGTATTCCCTGAAATTGCCATCATTAAGAGCTAGTGCGGTGGGGCCCTAGTTTCCCAAGTACTTGTGTCAGACAGTAGGTGCACGCAGGAGAAGCTTGTCACTTCCACACTGGTGGCTGGAGGGCCATGCCTGCTATGTTGTCCTGCTGTGGGCCTTGCTCTTTGCTGAAAGGCTGACTCTTCCTTTAGAGCTAACACATGCTCATGGCCCACAGATTCTAGCCACCAAAAGCCTGCTGGTAAGAGAGTTAAGAACTAGTAAAGTGGTCCAGATGACACTGATGTTAGATCTGGAGAGGATTGTTCTGTACATCTTTATAGCCCACATTTATCATTGTTTCATAAAGATGCAAAGGATCAGATAGCTTCCTTGTGCTTCACAGTCAGTCCTAGTTCCTACCCTGGCTGCTCAGCTCCCTCCCCCCAGCCAGTGCTTAGATGCAGCACTGATCCCTGGCTCCTGGGTGCTGGCACTGTGTCAGGTCGTGTGTGTGCTGCTCCAGTGGTCAAATGCCAAAGGAGCTGGTCACTGCTGCATTCCCAAGCAGGGATCCTAGGGGGGTTGCTGTACATGAACTACAGTGTGTTCCAGACTGGATAATTCTTCAAGCTGCTAGATAAATTCCAGGTTAACTAACTATGGAACGTGCCATCTGCCAATCTTTTCCTGCCCCCAGGTTTTCTACAACTATGGTTGCTTCACTCTTAAGTCTGGGAGGCTGTGTATAGTATGCTTGCTTTGACATATATATGCCTTTGCATAGAATCCTTTTTCTTACTGACATAAACAGTTATTACTCTTACAAAATAAGTAGGAGTACCATTAAGGACTACAGTTTTTCCAGTGTTGACACATTTGTCTTTAAGTGTTCAATTTTCTGCCAAGGTTGTGTTTTTCTATTCCTAACAAAACTAGGTTTCCTTTCAGCATTTGGACAACTGTTCCATGTCCCTGCATGCAGGGGTCTTGTTGACTAACTAAGCTGTGGAAGCAGATGGCATGTCACGAACTGTTAAGATCATGCAAAAATGGCTACAAAACTCAAAGCTACTGGTCTTTTAAACAGAAGCTTGAACAAATCAGTCTTCCTGTTAAGAATTTCAATGTTGGTTGTTTTTCCTTTTGTAAATTGGAGAAAACTCTTGTCTACCATTATTAGAGAGAACGGTGTTTTTAGCACACTGCTTCAGGATGGACGGGAGGTGAAGCAGCTGGACCCTGTGGTCCACTTGCTGTACTGGGATTAACTCCAGTAAATCAATGATGCAATTAAACAAAGTTCCAAAGTATGTTTCTGGGAAGTTGCCGATCTTGAGAACTGCAAGGCAACAGTTCAGGAACAAGCAGGGCTTGTGAGGGTATCTAAGAAGGATTTAAGATAATGTAGATATTGTTATACTGTTGTCTTTGCCTGGAATGCCACTGTCACAGAAGTAGTAGAGGGGTGTACAGTTACTTAACCGAGACTGGGAAGGCCTAAACACATAACAAAGAAATGGAGGTGGAACTGGCACACAGTGAGGAACATGGCAAAAAAATGAAGATTCCTTTTAGACTGGAGATTTGGCTAAACTTGAGAATTGAAATAAGGTTAAAGAAAACCTTATAAAGATGCTTTTGCAGTCCTTGCTAAAAGAGTGTAAAATCAAACCAGTATGTCATCCCTTAGAGGAAAACAGACACTCTTCATACTGGGACAAACCAAAGCTCTGTCTAGCTCCAGGTCTTGTTTCTGATAGCGATCAGGAGCAGATGCTTAGGAAAAGCAAGGACAGTATGGACTAGTGGGTATAGCTCCAGCTGGAAAATAGGATGCTGAACTGGAAGAATGTATGTGCCGCCTTTGGTTAAGACAAATCTGCAGAGAGGTTTGTGCTGAAATGTGCTGATCTGCCAGGCAGAAAATTGGGACATTTCTCTGCCTTTTTGCTCATCTGCTCTGTCATCTGTGTTTACTCCAGTATTTTTAGCATCTGGAAGTATGCCTGGGTGATAATGAGCAAACATTTAATCATGGCCCTCAGGAGTTTTCAAGCTTGAAGTAGTTTTAGATTTGGCATAGTAAATTATGGTGACAAACAGCTGATCAGATGAAACACAGTACTAAGGCTTAGGGAGCAAATTGGGGGATTGCTTTAAGTACCAGTTTAATCTTCTTTCAGATATGATGATGCTTGAATGCAAGCATTATTACAGTCTTTCAAAGACCAGATCTTTCAGTGATTCTCCCTATTTTAGGAAACAGACATGAGTAGTTTTTTCTCTCATCAAGGGTAAATCATTGAGGTGCTCATAAGAACAAATCCGATTTTTCTTTAATTACACAACAATGGTGTGTATATGACACACTGAATCCAGTACTGGTGGTTTTTCTCCCACCCTGCTGCAGTAGAAGTAGAAGAGATCAGGAAGATGTGAAGCAGGGAAGGTCTTGTCATTGGAAGCAAATCAGAAAAGGGCTCTTTCTGAGGGCAGCCTCTACTGGCTGGGGGTTAGCACCCACTGACCAAAAATCAGGTGAATGTTCCAAGTCAGTGGCATCAAATGGAAGTGTTTCTGAGCTTGTTTACATATTGCTGCTAGCCACCAGAAGGTCTCTTTTCTGTCATGGTAATAAGTAAAAATGATTCTCTGAGTGTCTTGTGTAAAAAAAAAAAAAAAAAAAAAAAAAACAAAAAACAAAACAAAATGCAAAGCCAAACCTGCTGCCCACTGGCTTATGGTAGGAGTTTGGAATTGATCCTACACCTGAATTGGATCCTGCCTGCTAGCAAAAGTTGGTAGAGAACTGTTTTAATCCACCAGCCCAACCCACCCCAATTGTTATGGACAAAGCATTTGAGCCAATTAGAATTTGTCATATCTGGAATTAATTCTGTTACTCTTCTTAGCAGGGATAAAAGCTTGAGTAGCCCTTTCCTGCAGCAGTGTTAACTGAAGGCTGCATGCTTCCAGTTAGAATTAAAAAGTACTATTTTCTATGTTCTGTTGATTTGTCCAGTTTAAACGCCTCTGCTTGTTACTTTCCATCATTTAAAGGCATATTTACTGATCCCCGTTTAGTGTAAGAATTTGCTGTTAAGTGTAGGAAAAAGGCAGTATATGCTCAGTCACTGAGTTTGAACGAGGCCTCTCTTCGCTTTAGTTGTCGTTCCTATGGGAACACATACAAGATTTACAGACTGCAGTTCTGTATGTGTGTACTAAAAGATTCGCCTTTTACAGTGTGAGATCAGGCTTCAGTGGTCACACACCGTGTAGTCAGGTGGCTGTATTCCAGAAACATGACCTGTTTGAGGCCTGATGCCACCATTGGGCACTGTGCAGTGACAGATCACGTTCTGCCCTGATCATGTACCTCCTGTCTGTGTTATCTGTGCTTTACAGATAAGATTCAATCTTTCAGGTTTATGATCTGCATTGGATAGCATCTCAGGTTTGTAAGTCTGTGGGTGTATAGAATGAGTAGGTGTATGCATGCACTTGTGTATCTGATATAGCTCTAGGTGTTTTGCAGTCTGGCTGCAAGAACAACTGTGTTTTAATTTATTTGACGTTTTCCCATTTATTGATACAGGTAATGTATCTGAGACAACTCAGTTCTGTAAGGTGAAGGCCTACAGCAGTTCAGGTGGCGGTGCAGGACTGTGGCATTTTGCTAGCTAGGACCAGGTAGGAATACAGCTGCCTAAAGGCAAGGCAAAGGTGGAAATTCTAAATCTTAAAGGTAACTCATCTGTTAATCCCATACTAGACATGTAATGTGAAGTAAAATTAGCTAAAAATACCCTCCAGTTTATCAACTGAGGCTTTTGGTCATTTTTATCATTGCAACAAGCTTAGATTAAAATCGACATGCAAAAAAAGTGTTTCCTAAGCCACAGAGGGTGAGAATTCTCACTCTCAGCAATTACACAATTCTCTTCAGGCAGTGGACTAGAAAGTTCTGATACAAACACATCCTAGTTTAAAAGAAATGGGAGTAGTGAGGACTGCAGCCATGAAGTCATGTCTGCATTTGTACATCGGCGCTTTCAGTCCTATGGTTACCTCTGCCAAAAACCTTATTGTAAACCACATTTCCCCCCACACAAACTTTCTCCCTGTTTCATCCTCTGATGTGTGTCTGAGCAGTTACAAAGCTTTAAAGAGACGGAGGAGCAGTGTCTGCAGGTCGTGTCTGAGTTTTGTGCGGGTGAGTTTCTATGTAAATTCATCACTTGGGTTCAGCTGCTTTATTCGCCCTCATTCTCTCCTGTGTCAAATGTTAGGATGACACAAACTTTAAATCCCCAGCTGTCTTAAGGATTTTTCTTTCCAAGCCCAGGATTCCATTGACAGCTGAGCCTGAATAAACCCTTAACTTCTCCAGATTAGAAGACTACATATATTTTTATAGAAATGTAATTGTATATTTTAAAAACCAGTTTCCTGCAGCTTCTCCACGTGTATTTCCCCCTCCCCCCCTTGTAGTTCAGATTTGATATAAACTTTTTTGTGTTCATTCTTTTTATGTTCTGTTTTTAAATTTGTAGCCCAAGCTTTGGTGTACTGTACAGGAGCAGTCAGCCTTTGTAATTACTGTATAAATGCTTTATAATAAAGTATATTACTTTTATTTTAACAAGTAAGCAGACACTTCCTTTTGTGTGTTTGCTGCCTAGGGCACCTTTTAAAAGACTGTTACGTGTTTAAAATGTACATATATAAATATATTTACCTGTTGCTGTACAGTTGTGATAGACTGGACTGAATTTATTTTTTGTGTGCTTTTTTTATAAGATATTAATACACTAAAGGAAATCTTGCTGATGTGATTGTAATGTACTATGTAACTTATTTACTGAATATCCGCTATATATCGAAAAAAACCTTTTATTAAATGAGGTTTAAAAAATAGTTTCCTAGCTGAGTGTTTTGATGGCTGGGGGAGGAGGTCAGGGCGATAGTGACACGAGAAGGAATTGTGAGTCCTGCGCTAGTCTGCACTCAGCATACCCACCCCTGTGTTTTCCGTAGCGATCCTTGAAGCTGTTTCTCAGTGTAAACTTCTGCCAAGGACACCACCCTGCAGCGTGGTTTACGTCTTGTATCCAAGAAGAAACTGGCAGATGCAGCTCCAGTTGCTTTACAGAAGAACTGACGGTGTAAGTGTGTCCCCCTCCAAGCCAAGTACGTTCCCAGAATGCTAGAAACAACCTTGATAATGCATTTGAAATTCCTGGGGTATAGTGCTAGGTCCACTGTGCTGTAAGTAAGGCCAGCTGGATTCTGACGCTACCCGAGACACCTACAAAGGCTGCATGGAGTTAGGCACCCAAGGGGCCTGTATCACACCTGAATTCCTGGATGGCTTTGGCAGGGACAGAAAATAGAGATTAAAGTAAATCCAGAGCTGCTGGAGAAAGAATTGACATTTTCGTGCTGTTGAGCAGTTGAATCTGCTGGATGTAAAACAGTGCCTTCAGCTCCAAGCTGTATGGCATATTTTTTAATGCTAGCATTTAAAAAGTGTTTCAGTAAATGCTGTCTTAAAGGCATTTGTCTGTTACCTGAATCTAAGCGGTTTTTATATAGCACTAATCATGTTTCCTCTGGCAGTAGCTGGATCTCTTGCTAGAGATTTTAAATATTAACATGCTTCCACCCACCCTCCAAATAAAGGTTCCTTCTGTTTTGGTAGATACCTGGTTTTGCTGAAGTAGGCTACACAGGTGCTTCTCCCACCTGTGGGCATGAGGTCTTTAAAAGCTGCAAATGCTTCACTACATAAAGCGTGTGGTGGGAATGTGCATGGGCTCCTGCTGGATTTCAGTCACAATCCCAGGTAGCACATTTGTTTTGAGTTGTTAATTTATGCTGGTGTGTTTTCCATGTTCCTGGCAAAGCTGGCAGGAGAAGGCTTGGGCTAAGACATTAAACGGCTCTTTGTTTCAACTCTGCAGAAGCCTTTGCTTTGATTTACTCCTGTGGATTTGGCTGTTGATAGGCAGTAATACTTGGAGCAGTAAGTGATATTTTGCTTGGTGGGCAAAGGGAGAGGGAACATCAAAGCCTTCACCTCAGGTAGCAGACCAAGACTTGTTTAAGGCTTTAAATAATGTATTTGCCTCCCTGTCAAAGCCAACTGGCAAAGGTGCTGAAGGCTGACTACTTTGTACTACAAGTGGGAAGCCATGCAAACAAACTTTGGATGATCAAAAAAAGTCACAAGTTCTGGACATTTTGCTTTTCATCTTTTAACTGGTGGATACAAG